AATGGAGGACTCTAATCCCAACCCTAAAACCATACTCCAGACCCTAAACGCAAGCAATACGATCCTGATAACCCGGAGCATTCAACAGTCGATTCAAAGCGCTCTGAAGTCAAATCCATGAAGGTACAATGTGTCCCTCGGGCCTCTGAGGCGCGGCTTTGCCAGCCTGATCGAAATCTGAGCGATCTCTGCCAATAACAAGACGAGTTCTTACAAAGGGGGTTTGTATAGAAACCCTCTTAACAATAACAGCTCTGATTATGACTATGACTATGAAATGTCAACAATAAACCGCAATCACAGTCATAACAATACCATTAAGAACGACAATGCGAGTAATGCTGCCGGCTGGCGTGGCACTTGCTGCCCCTACAAAACGATGCAAAGTCTGCTTGCCAATCCACACGAACCATGGAAAAATAATCTTGTCGCTGAGGCCCAAGTTCAGATTAGGTGCTTGCACTGCCGAAAATCATTCCTAGAGCTTGTCCAAACCCTTGGTGCATGCTGCAGAGCCTGACTGAGAGGAAGTCGATTGGCTCCTCGCCAGGTCCTGCGCTCACTGCTTCAGCGGCCGCTTTCTCTCCGTGGTTTCTCTTTCGGCCCTCCAACTTCAACTCGCTGCCATGTCCGATGCTCACGTGACACGAATCGGTGTCCAGCGCCAGGTCCATGACATCTTCAGGCGTGGCATCCGAGGCCACATCCTGCCGGGAAGGCTGGCTCGAGCTTTGGGATCTCGCGGCCAATTCTATACCAATACTAATACTAATGCTAATACTAGTACTAATACTAGTACTAATACTAGTACTAGTATATAGTACTAGTATTAGTACTAGTATTAGTACTAGTATTAATATGAATATTCTCCTTGGAGTCGTCCACTTCGTCCACTTCTCCCATGTCTCCCTGCGGCAGCGTCAGCTTCGGCCTGCGAGCGCTCGCAGTGCGCAGCGGCGCAGTGCAAGAGCCCCGAGGCGCTGCCCTGGGACCCCTTATTATAATATGTGATCGTCTATTATATAGTATACTATAGCATATTATAGTATACTATAGTATACTATAGTATATTGTAGTATATTGTAGTATATTATTATATACTCTTGTGTATTATAGTAAAATATAGTATCTGACCCACTGAGCCCCACCTGCAGCTGCCGGGCTCCGGCGGAACTGCCAGCCTGATCACCGCCCGCACGCTCCCCGACCCGGCACTTTGGAAAAGTTCAGCATCTGCGATCTGCGGGCAAGGGACAAAAGCGGCGCCGTGGTGGGCTGAAACACGATCTCCTCGTAGACCTGCATCATGGACTGCGAAACGTGCCACAGCAAGAAGTGAAACACTTTCTCCCAGTGCGTGACCCGGGGACAACGAACACCAGCACAAGCACCTAGATTCCTAGAGCCAGTGGGCATGTTTCCATTTGGCCTGCAAAGGTGCATCGGGCCGGCCCAAGGCGATGGGCATCTGCGCAGAAACCGGCTGGTCAAACGGTCTTGCAGGGGGGGCTATGTCCAATGCTCTCTCTAGACCCACGGGGCAGTTTCATACCATGAACTTACCTTTGGTTAGTGGGTTATGGAAGAATGGTAGTCATAGTAGTTATAATTTTACCCCCTTCCTCCATTCCCTACTAACCAAAGGTAAAGATCCCTTTAAAGGAACCCTAAACCCTTATAGATCCCTTTAAAGGAACCCTATAGATCCCTTTAAAGGAGCCCTGTTCCCTACTAACCAAAAGAACAGGAGGAAGTGAAATCCTCGGCCCCAGTCGAAGTCGCCTCGGACTGCAAGCCGCATGGGCACTCCTCGCCAAGCAGGTTCCCTACTCTTACCATAGGGAATGGAGGAATGGGGTACAAATATAACTACTATTACTACCATTCTTCCATTCCCTACTAACCAAAGGTAAGTACTCAGAGGCTCAAAGACAGTCCTTTTCAGATGAACGCGAAGCTGGCATTGCCCTAAGAGTCCTTGGTGTTCAGCCGCACCTCTGCATGCCACTTGCCGATGAAGCCAAGGAAGACCAGCGTTACCCCTCCCCGCATCCTGCAAGAGAAAGAGAGCAGACTAAGGAAATTCAGCGCGCCGTTGCACCCGGCTGGCCTCTGGAGGATCTCCGATGCCGAAAGCCCGGCAAAGTCCTCAAAGCGTCCACTCACTGCGAAAACCCGCCTCTGTGCCGTGCCCTCCCCAAGCCCCAAGCCTTCTTGCCATTGATTGACACCAAGAGGTCCCCGGATTTGATGCCAGCCTGCACTGCTCTGCCGGCACAGCGCGAAACTCAGAAGTCCGCCGTCCACTTGCCTTGTCGGCTAAGCCACCGCGCCGCACGGAGGCCACCACGACTCGCCTCGCACCGCCTCCTTGAGCGATGCACATGCGATGCACGTCATGGCACAGCACCGCTCGACTGTTGCCACCCGTTCCTTACATCTGCCACATTCCAACCCCGTCGAGCAATAAACAAGAGACTAGAACATCATGTTTCCTCATGCCTGCTGTCGTTCCCCAACTCTTCACCGCCTTCTTGGGCTGAAGAGCTACGCAATGCGTCAGCACCGGCCCCCAGCTGCCTCGCAGTGTGAAGTCTTCCCAAGGTCGATCTCCATCTTTGTAGGAAACCTTGGAAAGCTGTTGTGGCGACTTCCTGTAGACATCGCTAGCCTGACATCTTCAGGGAGGCCAGGGAGGAGGGCTGTACCTTTAAAAGCTAACCAACTGGCCCAACCTCCCAGAAAACCGCCAGAGCATGCGCAGGATCTCAGAGAGCGCTCAGAAGATGCTTTGCGGTCTGCCGGAACCCAGGAAAACCTCGCGAAAGCGCCCCAATTCAAGAAAACATAGACACTCAGAAAATGAGCTGACCAAGGAGCCATTCTGCCAGCAGCCCCTGTACGACGAAAGCGGCGGTTCCACTCCTGTTGGCCAGACCGGGAGTTTCTTACAAGTAAGGGTCCATGGGTGCCCTAGAACAAGACTCCTACATTTTTTCTGATGAGGCGACAGCATTTAAAGACTTGCACTAAAGCATCAGAGCTTTGGCTAAGAGGCCCAAATCTCCACACTTCTGACCTAGCTTTCAATGTGTAACCGGCGTAACGCATTGTGTTCCCGACTCGGCCAGATCGCGGGGCTTCCTCCTCCTCAGGATCCGCGGACTCCCCGACAGGCGCGGCCTGTGGAGACCCAAGCATCTGTGCTCCGTGTCGTGAAATGATTTACAAAATCAAGGAAGACAGGACTTGTGTCGACATTAGGCTCTTTGCCTCGTGCTCTCCGTCGCAGTAGTTGGAAGATTTTCCTCGGCATCACGATCTCGTGACCCAAGACGCAAAGCTCCGAAAGGCGAAGCACGAGAACACCGGGTGGGCGGACTTCGAGGTCTCCGCCGAAACGGTGCCACATTTTCGCCTGGCCGGCGGTCATCTCGCTTCCGCTCCACGTGAATGTAAAGCACGACTGTGGCAGTCATGACCATGTGGAGGCATCGGCCTTGTTCAGCGGGATCACCCGTATGAGGAAGGAAGAAGGCACTGTGGGGATCATCCTGGGACAGCAGCCCGGGACGAGAAAAGCACACGGCTTCAGGCTCTGCATGTGCGCTGTTTGCAAAAACAACCAGCCAGCGAGTCAGTTGCGAGATACATTTTGGATTGTAACTGGCTGTTTGGGTAAGCTACGAGCCTCGTCGAGATCTGCCACGTTCAGCCAAGCCAACACGTCGTTCAAAGGCTCTCCTGGACGGTCCTGGCTTGTCTTAGGGTTCCCAGCAAAACAAACACAGCTCATGGAGCCGAGTCTCCGGAACCCTCGACACTCACGTCATGCTTCGTCTGTCCTCATCCGGATCTGGGGAGAAAGCTTCGGGCCTCGGCACCGTGCAATAGGATTTGATCTAGCCATGGCGAGTGGATGACTCGAAAGATGAATGAAATCTGCGACCTGCAGTGGCAAAAGCTGACACGAGCCCTGTAGGCTACATGTCTCAGAAAGATGAAAATGTATACCCTCGCATCCATCAAAACTCGCCTCGCTGGGGCATCCAGGTCCTGGAAGCTAGCGATAGTAGCGCCACAGGCAGGTTCACATGGCAGCGCGGGAGGAGCTCCCAACGTGAAGCTGCTTGGGATGCCCTGTGTCAGACCCTGAAGTCCGCGTACCTCCCGCAGAAGATCCACAGCGGTCTCCCGGTGCCTTAGCAAGATCAGGCTGTGCCGCTACGCTGCCACCGCACCTCCCCTGCCAACTGGGGGAAACACGAACTGGCACAAGTGCGCAAAGATCCCAACAAGACCCCAAGGCCCAAGATGTGGGCGTCTCAGCAGAGCCTCACTGTTTCAATTCCGAGTCACAGTAAGCTGGCCATTGGAGCCGCAGCATTGCAAGCGCAAGGAAGAGAAACGTTCCCAAAAGAAAGGGACAGCTCATGTGTTGCTACTGGTATGTCGTGGCTCTAGCAGACAGTCGGTACAAGCAGATCTTCGGCAAACATGAGAGAAACTTCTGCCGGACACGTCCATGATGATCGTACATGATGGGATGCTTCAAGCCGAGAAGCCATGCATGACGACACATTCTATGGTGTAACTTGACTCGTCACAGCACATCCCTGTCAATTCTGCACTTACCGACGCAGCCGCCTGGAATGGCTCTGAGACAAGCACGACTGTCTGCCAGCGCAAGCGGCATGCAACGGCCATCACCTGCCCAGGCAATGAAACTTCTTGTAAGATGTCCTCTTGCAGCGACCTCCTCGCCAAAGAATCATCGCTAGAGCCGCGCTCTTGCTGTCAAAGGTCCAATGCCCCCTACTCTGCGCAGACGGGTACACTCTTTTCTCCTGGTGGCCAGCGGCGCTCAAGACTACCTCCTCAGCCCGAAGCCTGACACCGGGTCCTTGGCAAAACTCGGCAGGGAATGTCCAGGGAGCGTGGAGTGTGGCGGCTTGAGGTGCCGACCATCCAGATCGAGGAAAACTGCGACGTTTCGCCGCTCACTCGGGGAAAGCCTCCACGTGGCCATCAGCTTTCAACAAAACAAACAAGGCCGAAGCTTGAAAAGGATGCAAGTGCAGATACAAGTTATATCCATACTTGCAATTACAAAGCCACCCATCTCACTGTGAGGAATCCCAGTGGCTCGGCCCTGCCCTGGACTGGGGTTTGGTCCTCCTGCAGGCGGAGCAGCACGAACCCGAGGATGATGCCTGCCAGAAATGGACTGTCAAACTGGGTGCACGAAATAGCTTCTGCAGCTTGGCGCTGCAGCTTTTGTGACCCAGTACTCTCTGAAGATGCCCTGTGCCCGTCCTCTGTCTGTCCGACCTACGTGCCAGAGAGGCCAAATTCAAGCAGGACGGGCGCGCCCCAGATGATCGCAAAGGAGATGGTCACAGAGTAAGGGAAGATCTCCTGCCACGATGATCTCAATCGAACCAACTCGGTATAATTGCGACTATTGACTGAACATGGCACATGCCCGGTCGACATCATCCCAAACGTTCGCATACGCGGGCTCCGCCAAGAAGAGGCCAGCCTTGGAGACATGTTGCTATTACAGAAGCAGGAGTCACCACGGCGATGCCCTTGGCAGCAAGCGCGGAGTACCTCAGCTGGCCCTCGGTCAAGCGTCGTCCGGAGCTCAGCTGCACGTCGTGCGAAGCGCCGTAGATTCCGTAGATTTTCGTTTGTCCGGTAAGAATTTGGGGCCCTATACTACTGAGGGTACTTTATAGGAACCCCCATTAATGGATCTTCTTCTTGGATCCTGTGGGATTGCGAAAACCCTTGCGTTCTTGCCTGCTCAGACGAGGTGACCTCTCAGCTGCCGAGCAAATATGGAAAATCAAAAAACCCTGCGTTGCCCTAGGGGTTTGGGGTTTAGGGGTTAGGGTTTAGGGTTTAGGGTTTACGGTTTAGGGTTTAGGGTTTGGGGGGTAAGTGTTGGTAGCGATGCACAAAGTGTGGCCTGCCATCTTTGTTACACACTTGCCCGAGGGACATGACTTCATTAGCTTGCTTTGCGAGCTGCACGGTGTCCACTAAGATGTTTCGCTTGAAGAAAATGTTGTCATGAATACTTCCTGCTTCCCAACCCTTTGCAACATCGTGTATTGCCTGGGAAGTCAGAAATTGGTCAAGCTCCGGGCGGTGACACCAGCAGCTGCCGCGTTGTTTTGCACCTGCAAGGCATTCCAAGGTAAACTTCTGAGGGGAGAAATACTACTATTGCTATTGTTACTATATGCTTTTACTATTACTACTATGTACTATTATAGTTATTGTTGTTAATATATTTTTTATTAAGCAACAGGAATCCACTCCAGGGTTCCGGCGAGCCTGGGACGCCGCTTTGGCCGATGGCGGCGCCACGAAATTCGTTCCGAAGGAGAGCTGGGCCTCTTTCGCAAGACCCTTTCTGGCCACAAAGAGCAAAGATCGGACTCTTCTCCGACGAAGCCAAGAGCTGGGGACCGGGTGACCGGGCCACAGCCGCAAGAGCAAGGAGTGCAGCAAGGGCGGGCAGAACCTGAGCTTTTGTCTGGGCACAGGGCCAGGGAGCTTCGGCAGTGACCTTTGCATCTTGTTAGCTCGTCGCATGACTCGCGGTGCAGGCAGAAAGGACCCGAGGGTCTCACAGATCTTCGTCCAGCCATGGTCACTTACACAGCTTGTCTTCGGCGATCGCAGTACTTGCCCGAGGAGAGCCAAGCCAAAAAAAACTTCGGCAGGGGCACAGACGAGAACTGCCCGACTGTCCTTGTGATAGTGATTGCGAGTAGTCTGACAGAAGCCCCAACAGACGGCGCGCACAAATTCCACCTCTGCGTTCATACGCTGGCACATGGACTTCAAGAGTCGGCTCCAGCACAAATTTTGCGACACGCCGACAAGTCACACAATCGTCCATTTGGACTGCGCGTGCGACTAGCTCCGCGGGGAAGGTAGGACCCTCAAGTGTTTGTTTTCATCCTGAAAGACTTAAAGAGCCTGGGCCCTGATTCCCTGATTCTCACCCTGAATCACTAGGAGCACAACCTTTGCAGGGCTCTGTCAGGGCAGCTTCTGCGGGTTGCCCGGATAGGCCTCGGCAACCTGGCAATGAGACGAGCTCAGTTTCAATGATTGCAGATTCTGTCTTGCGCATACTCCATGATCCATGATCTGACTCTGAAAATGCGACCGTACAGGAGCGAGCGAGAATCGTAAGAAAAGGTGCAAGCGAACGACTGTAGACTCCGTCAGAAGGACACTTGACCGGGAGCCTCCTTGATCACTGAAGTGGGACTGGCTATCCTCAGCAAACCGCCAGATCCTTTGTTGCAAACTTAACAGATGCAAGCGAGCTGGGTGGCGTGCCCGCCACGCCGCTCCGACCACTGCAAGGCAGCGCCGTAAATGCGAGCCTCTTCCTGCAACGATGCTGGACTTCGCCACGGTGTCAGTGAAAGAATCAACAAAGCTCCAGCTGTGGCAGGAAAAAATGGGATAAGCGCGTGGGCATCCAAGGCATTCATCCTTGACGAGGCTGAGTCACTGAGTGCCGAGCCTGCGTGGCTAGGTAAACTTCCTCAGACACGCTGATGGCCTGGTCTTCGATTCGTGAGCAAACCTTGGAGGAACCCATGGCAAGGATTCAAGGCACAGCGGTTCTCTCCGGGGCCCGAGCAACATAGCAGAGAGCAGCCCATACCTTGAAGCGCCGAGCGGCACAGCCCCATGCAGGGCTTGGTGCTGCGTACGTGAGCACTGGGTGAAATCCACAGTTTCAGGCGCTTTGCGCATATCCACCACGCCTGGACAAGACGCTTGGTGCCCGACGATTTCGGCTGCTGCAAATCCCTGTCGTGCTCATGCTACCAAAGCGCTGGCCAAGACAGCAACCCTCCAGAGTCTGCCTACATAAGGGTGTCTTACAACTGTTGTGACAGAGGTGGGCATTGAACGACCCCGTTGGTCTGTAAATCAAGGCTCTTGCCTCTTGCTCGGCGACACGAACATCACGAGTTGCTGTGGACACAACTGAGTCCAAGGCGAGGTGCGACAGCAAGAAGATCCAGATGTGCGGTGTCGCCGTCAAAGAGAACTGCCAATCCCAGCAAAGAGAAACTCTTGTCGTGTGCAGTTGCTGTTCTGACGCCGCGAATGCTTCTCCCAGACTGGATCCGTAAGTCTGGCCAGACCCGGAAAACGAAGACCGAATCTGAGATCGGCGGAATCCAAGTTATCATGGAAGCTCTGCCCTCATGACTTCGTTTGTGCCTCCACCGTCCTGGCCTTGCTGTAGGATTCAACAGCTATGCTCAAGTCCTGGCAAGCTTGTGCACTTCAACAGTCTAGTTACACAGCAACATTTAGCTTCCGTGCCTCTCTAGGTTTAGAGCTTGCTGGCATCTGCACGAGCGCGGCACAGGTCGGAAAGCGATCGAATTCCCTGCCGGTCCAGCGCACCACCGATGAAGGCCATGATGCCTAGCACTCAAGAAGACTAAATGGGATGCCGACAGCAGTGCAATCCGGCAATAAATCTGGTCAAGCTCGCCCTTCTCTGCTAGGAAAACGCATGACATCCTCAAAATACTGCTCTCCCCATTGCAATCACCATACACCGGAGAGCGCTTGAAAAGGAATCTGTGTGCTGTGAGCTCCTGGCCACAGTTCTTGCAGCACTGCCTCAAAGCGAAACACTCCAACTGCTGCTTTTCAAGCTAGAAAGAGCTGTCTCTTTGTCGCTTTGGCTCGCAAAAACCGCTCCGCCGTGGATCCAGCCAATCGCTGAGGCTCGCGCATGTCATGGTCACTGTCAAGGCAAAGGCCTAGCAAGGCCAGGGTGTCCACCAGCATGAGCAGCATCGCCTGGGAGGGCTCTTGGCGAGTTCGCACCGCTTTTGGTGCTGGACAGCTGCGTTTGACGGCACCAACCTGCCCTGAGCTCTGTGCTCCATGGGGGTCCTGCAACTCAGCACATGGACTTTGCCTAGTCATGCGTGCTGAAAGCCGGGCTTCCGGCCCTTGTCATGAAGCAGCAGGCTGAACGTCCGACAACGAATACAGCCGTGCCAAGATGTCAACATGACCGAACGGAAACACGGCCATGACTCAATGGATCTGAACGGATTGTGCCCGGTTCGGGCTGAGGTGACGGCCAGGAAAGGCAAGGGCCCGGAGCCCCCTACAACCGAAGCTCAGACCCAGGAAAGCTGAATAGTCCACACTCCACAGAATCCGACATCACCCCGCCACGCTTCTATCTCCGGCGCAAAAATTAGGAAGGGTGCCTCGCAAGCGCTTGCCCAATCTATCTCCAGGCTTTCTGCTGTGGCTGGCAAATATGAAGACACAAAATTAAGACGAACGTGCTTCTGCTGTAAGCAAGAGGAATGAAACTGGACAGTGACAAGAATTCACGAGAAAGTCTCCGTGATTACTCTGTTCGACTGTGTGCGAACATCGTGAACCGACTTGTCTAAGAAATTTAACTCCTACCAGGTCCTTTTGAATTGGCTGATTAATTTTAAGGTTTAGCTCAGAGTCACTCCTGAAACCCAACTCCTTTCGCATTGGGCCGATCAAGCGTTAAGAGGCAAGCTTGTCTCACATGCAGCTTGCTTTCGCTGGGGCTTGCGCACCGCACCCTAACTCAAGAGCTTGACACGTTGCAACCCAAACCTGTCATTCGGAGATGATGCAGCAGTCATTCAGTTCGCTGCTTCTTGTGGATGATTTCTCTGTCAACACTAGACGAATACGCTTGTGTGCCCTCGGTGCTTTTCGAGGGAGAGCCTGAAACATCGTTCAGTCCTTCAATGCCTTGAGCCGCACAGCCGTCCTGGCAACGCAAAAAATCACGACCGCTCAGCACAACGTGTCCTCTTTAGAGCACTGTCCCACAAACGCGTATTTGTGCGACGACAGGCTGCGAGACTGAACACATGCCGGCAGAGCAGGAGGATCAGGAACACAAGCGCCACGATGTACCACAATCTGGGGACAAGTCTGCAAGAAATGCGAAGGCAGTATACATCTGCGAAACAAGGGTCCAACTTTAGCCGTCTGCGCTCTTCCATCTGAGAGTCCTCGGCTGCTGTGCTCCTTTCAGAGCACACGGTCACCAGGGCGAGCCTGCACACACGGGACGCACGAAGAGCACCTGCTGCCCCTGCAGCCCTGTCTGCAAGCTCCTTCCAGTCTCAGCAGGTTCTGAGGGCACCACCGCAATGGCACGCGGTCAGCATTAAGCGGATGCCTGCCAAGGAGGGCATGCATTGCTACTGCTGCATCCTTGTGTCGTAAAGCACAGCTCCCACCCTCCGCCCCGTCCTCTCCAGCTGGAGAAGCCAAGAAGGGACTGCACGGCACGGACAGCAGCACCTTAAGGAAGAGATCGGGATCGAGTGCAACATCAAGGGGAGCCGGCAGCAGAGGTCACAAGCCCTGCTTTCCGTGCACAGTGCTTCATGATCCAACATTGCGAGTCGCTGTGTGCATCCCGGCCCGCTGAGTCTCCCGCACGCCCGAGCCCTCGACGTGCCTTTCCCTCTTGAGCCGGACACGGCGGAGACGGCAGAGTGCTGAGGAGCCGTGTTGCACTCCAAGCACTTGGGAGCCGGAAAAGCGGGAGCAACCCCTTCCCGCCTGCAGCGCGCAGCAAGAGGAAGGGGGGGACTCTGAAGCATCACACAGAAAAGGCTCGTCGCAATGGAGCTTGCGAGACAGCTGCTAATGAGCTATGCCAGGTGCAAAGACATGCTGCATGCGTCTCCGGGTTGCTGCTGCGAGACGGACACGGCGCTCGCGGCGGAAAGAGCGGCTGTCCAAGGCGATACCAACGCACGCAAGCATGGCCACGCGTCAGTCAACTCCAGCCTGAACCACGACTTTAGAAACCCTAAACCCCAAACCCTCAACCGAGAAACTCAGCCTCAACCGACTTTACTGTAGACATCCCCTGCCGGCTCCAAGTGAAGCAGTGGTGCGGGTGCGTACCATCTCCGAGATCGAATCAAATCGGGTCCTGACATCCGGGAGCACGGCTTCCCTAAGCGCCCAAAGTCAAATAAATTTTATAGTACATTGTATTTCAGTATAATATAGCAAAGAATAGTATATCATAGTATAATATAGTATATTATTGTATAATATAGCATATTGTAGTATATTTTATGTAGCATCAGCTTCCTCAAGCTCACATCACCAGGAACGGTTGTGCCTCGGCCTCGGTGTACTGGAGCCAGGGCGCCTGTATCAGTACACATGCCAGAAAGTGCAACACGTCGACCGGTAGAGCACGGGCGACTTGGATGCCCACGATGATGTGTGCGGCTTGCCCAGGATTGTGCCAGACACCATCAGGTAGCCCTTCACGGAACCGACCTTCGAACCAGACAGCCAACTTGCTGTTTGGTCAGGTGGCAGCAAGATATGACAAGTCAGCCTGCACAAGTCTTGTTCCACGGGACAGCCGGGCCTTTGCGCCCTTGAGATAATTGATCCCGGCTTCGTCGATCGTCCGCTGGGCGGCAGTGCTTGTAGCTGTTGGGTTTAGATCCAGGCATCTTGGGCATTCAAACATACTTGTGAATAATGTGCTGATACGGGGGCCACGGTATGTCAAAACGAACAAGAAAAGTCTAGCTAACCTGTCAGGTTGTGAACACCATGCAGTCTCAGCAATGCGTGAACAGCACCTTGGCAAAAGCTGACCGCGCAGTGACGGCACCGGAGGGTCCGGCTGGCGGCCTGCAGAGATGTTGAAGATTATATGGCTTTAGTAGCGGATCTTCGGGGATTCAGGATCGGAACGAAGGAAACTGTGCGGACAAACAACAACTGAACTGAGGTCGCGTCAGTTGCGCTAGCTTTGGCGGTCGCGCCGTGCCACGCTCGGTCACAGCCCCCGACATAACTGCCACACGCTAAACAAACCAAAAAATGTCGAAAGTATTAAGACAACATAGATAGCAATGCGACTGCGGAAACAAAAACCACGCTCAAAACTTAGCATCATGCATGCTAGATGGTATGTGCACTTGCTCGGGCCATCTGGCAACAGTCCCGGATCTTGGGCAAACACGCCTGATTACTCGTCTTCGTTCCTGTGCCCGCAAAATGGCACCACATCCACATCTGAAAACCTGGGCCGATTCTCCGCCTGCCTTTTAGTCTTCTCGTTCCTGTGACACAGATACACGTTATAGACACAGCTACGTTACTATCGCATGCAACGGCACAGTCACGACACTTCCAGCAAGCACCGCAAAGCCAAACAAGAAGAAACGAATGGCGCACTTCATGTGGCTGCATTGTGACTTCGAAGTTGATGCGCTGCGTCTCTTTGCGTGAATCTTTCAGATGCGGCCCTGATTATGTTTCGTGGCGCACAATGCACCCCATGTTCGGTGGACCTATTTGTGGATGGTCTTTGTGAAGGCAGCTCTTCAGACGGCGATCTTGCACTCCTTTCAAAGGGCCATGTGAAAACAAGGAACTGAGCACACAGATGGGCTTTCACAACTGGAAGGATTCCCGTCATGCTTCATGCAAAACTGCTGCCTAACAACAAGCTCCCACGAATCATTCGAGCAAAAGCCAACAGCTTCTGCTATGGGCAGAAAGAGCACCTACTTCACACCCGAGGCAAACAAAGACAAATCATAGAAGACTCTTCCCCTTTTGACCGTCAAGGATCTACGGCAGGCCCATTTGGGGGATCTTGCTGCTTTGCAGATTCATGCAAGACCTGCTTTAAAACGTACATCACAGCATCATCTAAACAAGGGCATGCAAACGGGGATTTCCCGAGTGCCGCGTGCCATAAATCGTCCAGACTGACTTTTTCAGCCTAGGACCAAAAACTTCCCTGGATGCCAGGGGGCTGAACCGCTGCAACTAGATGAGTGAGTGCAGTTCGGCCGCTGCTTTTGCGAATGACTCCCCTCCTCGGCAGACATCGAAGACGCAATCGTCGAACAAACTCCCGGACTCCCGCGTCTCCTATCCACATGGCATGGGCTGCGGATAACATTGACCATAAACTCCAGATTCGCTGTTGAGGGGCGCGTTAAGCAATGCAAAGGCCTAATGCACTGGTTTGCAGCAGGGGTAATTGTGGCACAGCATCTGAGTGCTTAGGTGCTCAAGGCCTTCACAGGAGTCTATGCGGAATGATTCACTCAGCAGGATGGCGCAGGAAGTACCAAGCGTCACCGTGGGGCTCTAAACGATGGCGACCTCAAGCAACACAAACGACAATATGCATACTTCCTTGTAAAGCCAAGCCTTTCGCGGCATGCGGAGTTGCCGAAACTAGCAAGCAATGACACTACGGAGGAAAATGGCTCCGGGGACACTCCTCGCCGAGATATTCCGCGCAGGTGTCCTCGGCTTTCGTCTTGGCGTCTCCAGTGCAGGAGGTCACAAGCAGGTGTTTCTCCTCCCGGGCTTGCGACTCAGTGGCGGTGGGTTTCAAGACCACTTTCCAATAGTGGTTTTCCAAGGCTTGGACTATGACAGGGCGGCGGCTAATTTAACTCTCCTGTTGGCTCTTCTTCAGGAAGGATGCGGCGCCGTCGCTCCCACCTGTGGCAAGGCTCAGTCTTGGGTCTTCGGGCATGAAGAAGGGGTGCCCAACGACAGAATCGGATCCTGGCATGTCGGCACTATTTGAAGCCAATGTCCTTTGGCAAGTGCCCACCTAGCGATTGCCAGCTCTCCTCCACTGGGAACCTCTCCTGCAGATGCCCGCAGCACGTTCTTCTGTTTCACAGCACACAGAATTCTAAACATGATAAGACGCGCTCCAGCTCGGCCGATGTTTTACCTCGACCCGCAACGTAAAGGCTCGGTGCTCTGAGAAAGCGTCCCGCAGGCGCTTCTGGCCACTCTCGGGAGGGTGGGAGGGCCACAGAAACTGCATTCGCACATCGTATCATGAAGTGGTCATGATAAGACGCGCTCCAGCTCGGCCGATGTTTTACCTCGACCCGCAACGTAAAGGCTCGGTGCTCTGAGAAAGCGTCCCGCAGGCGCTTCTGGCCATTAGCCAAACTCAGGCTGCAAAGCGCGCCATCATGGCCTTGGAAAGTCCGCCATCACGCCGCTGTAGATGGCTGCCGCTGCAAGCAGTCTTCGACGCGTAGCCTCCTTCAGCTCAGGAAGGATTGAGATGGCCGACATCTCTTGCAGATAAAACTCCAAGGTCGCTAAACTTCGCAATCTCATCCGCCAGAGTAGGTCTTGCACAGAAGCCCCTCGCTGAAATGCGCAGATGGCCCCTCCTGCCCGAAGGGATCCCGGCGTCAGCTTCAGCTTTGCAGGTACACCCAAGAGCGCGAGGATCTTGTCCCAGCGCCGTCTGTAGACTCCAGGGCTGCCAGGGTACAGCAAGTCGTCTCTGTTCAGCGTCGCAAAGAACGTCGTCAGAAAAGCCAAGGCTGTCGGGTCACTCAGCTTTGAGTGCTGAGTCCTAGCAGCTCGCCTCCTGGTTTTTGGCTTGAGGAGCCTGAAGTACATCCAGCCATGAGCAGGCTCCAGCAGATCCACGGGAGTAAGCACGTGCTTCCGCTTTGCCTTAAGCAGCTCTCCTGGCCGATTTATGGCGTAAAAAGTGGCCAAAGTAACGGCTGCCCATCTTGTCCAGCGGAAGCTCAGAGCAATGCCGACCATGGCTTTCAGCAAGATCTCCGGCATAGGAGTCCTATGCGAGATAGGCTGTAACTCCTCCCACCTCCAAACCATCTCCCAGGCTGGCTTGAGATGGGGCCTCAGGAGAGGCAGCCTTCTCTGGGAATGTGCAAGCAACTGCCTGTACATTCCCAAAGGAGCACCCACTTTGTAAAGCTCGTCGGCGTAGTCTCTCAGCACCAAGGAAAGAAGAGGAGGGCAGGCGAAAAGTGCCAAAACAGCACTCTCCGACAGCCCTTCCCTAAGCCAAGCCACAAAGCTGTCCCAGATTCTCGTCCTGAGAGCAGCCGTCTCCTTTGTCACGAGTTCGACATCGAAAAGAGAGCCTTGGCGACGAGGTCGAGCTCGAGCAGGTCCTGGGTTGCACGCTTCGCCAAGTCTCTTGTTGTCGTCCAAAACACAACTGCTTACAGTCAGGTCGGCACAGACAGCAGCGTCCGCGAGGGCCATGGCAAGGTCTACACTAGCTTGCTGCGGAGGATGCTCGGCCAGTTTTGTCCAGTTCTCTGTAGTGCCAGAGGCCCTGCCACGCAGAACCTTGTGCTTGTGTCCACCTGGGCAAAGCTTGCTGCTGCCAGCCAGGGCGGTGTTTGTGAGGATCCGGGTCCTCTTTTGCCAAGGTCTACCGTAGGCGCAGTGGTCGTAGACCCAGTAGCCAAGCGATGGCCAGTCTTCAAGCAAGGCTTTAACCTGGGGCTGCTTCCACAGCCAGCTTCTGTCTGGGTTCTCCAACCAAAAGGGCAACCCTAACCCCAGGAGCAGCCGGACGACACGAACGACGAGACCGGTAGGCAGGGTAGGAAGCAGCACTGAAGGTAGGACAGGCAGGCGAAATGATCTGGCTCTGAAGGGCAGGCCGCAACAGATCCTGGGACTCTCCGTGCAACCAGTCGAAGGTAAGGGCCCAGGGAAAGCCACAGCCCACAACGGCCTTAGCAACCGACCGACTTCCAGCGTAGAGACAGAGGTACCCGGGCAAGACAAAACGCCCCGAGAGGGGAGGCAGCCTGCCGAAAGGCCAAAGGAACTGCCTCCTTGAGCAGCTCACAAGGAACGCGAGGGCAGCTGAAGAAACCAAGCCGGCAGACACTGCAGCAGGCGCAGGACTCTGGTCTGACGCGGGCACACAGGTGAAAGGCGGAGGCTCTGCTGCACCGTAAAAGCCAGGGGTGCCAAGGCGCTCAGCAAAGGACTTGTGAAGGAGATCAAAGCCTAGCATCTGGAAAGGATGCCTCTCAACACTGAGCAGAAAGGAGTCAAGGGCCTCAAAGCGGCCTAACTCGGTTTCTCTAAGCCAAACAGGTTCGGGAAGAGCCGGCTCCCTCACCGGACGCTCTCGAGTAGGGTCATCACTGGGGTTGTCTTCCGAGGCTATGTAAGCGTAATGCGGGAAGAGGTTAAAAAACAAGAGCCCTGGCAATGATGCTCTCAGCCGGGCGTTGATGGAAAACGAGCTCGATCGGCCTTTCAGCAAGGCGCCGAGCACCACTTGGGAATCCAACAGAGAGAGCGTTCTGGCCGATTCCCAACCAAACGGGGACAACGACTCCTCGGCGGAGAGATACGCATCCATCTCTTTGACGTTTATGTGATCTCTGCGCCTCCGTCGGAAAACTGAGTGGAGCCTGAAGTGCAGTGTTCGTGCGACCAGGGTCCAGAGCGGATGAGTGCGAAAAATTTCCCCAGGCAATTCGCACTCGACCTCCAACTGCTGGTGCTCGCGTAAAAGCGCGTTGACAGGCGAAAGCAGTTTGTTCCAAAGACTCTTTGTCGGAGTATGCCTCAGCAGTTCACGAACAAGGTCAGGGGAAACGCGAGCTGTGACAACAGCACCCAGCGAGGAGGAGGCGTCCGAAGCCACCACAAGCCCACAGCTCTGAGCGCGGAGGACAGTGGCTAAGAGCGGCGCGAGAACACAAAGCTTGAAGAGCTCAGCACGCAAAGACGGCGGGACTCGCACCAGCTCGTGCCGCTCGCGACCTCTCTGCAGAAGGTAGACCTGGTCAAGCAGGCAGAGACAGCGGCGCCGGAAAGAGAGGGCGGCGACCCAGGAGCCTGCCAAAGTCTCCAAGAGAGAAACCGTAACAACTGGCAGTTCCAACACAGTTGCGGTCAAAACAGCAAGCGGGATCAAGCGGCTCCAGGCAGGACGCACAAGACCAAGCTCACCAAGGACGTCGGCGCCCCAAAAGGTAGCAGAGTCAGAGGCGAAGAAGGCTTTCTTCTCATGCCTGGGCAGAGGCGCAGATGGAGGCCGTCAACAATCCGCTGGCTGTGCGAAGACGAAACCTCAAAGTGGGGTCTCCGCAACGCTCTCTCGATGACGATCACATCGTCTATGACGAGCCCCAACATGGCAGGACTTCGGGGCACGGGCCCTTTGTGCACAAGAAGCTCATCCCACCCTACCACCTGAGCTTGAAGGATCAGTCCAACATGAGCAGACTGGGCAACAGACACAGCATTGCAGTCCCCCATAGCCATGCAACACAATGCAGCAACGACGCGGCGGGACTTCCAAAGGCCCGGCTCGAAGCAGGAAAGATGCGAAAGGTCGCGGGGCTTGAAGGAACCAACGATGCGGTATTGGGCTGCCCGGTCGGTCGTGACCCTAAACTGATGGTAAAAATCCTTTATATCATCGCCTGAAAGGTAGAGCTGCTGGTGAGGCGCCAGCTCTAGCCCAAGAAGGGCCGATGCTGAGCCCATCGTGGAGAGCCACCTGACGTCTGTCGGCATGCAAAGGTTGGAAGGGCGAGCATCGACAATAAGTCGATCAGCATCGATGCTCTTGGGGAGAGCGAAGACGCCACAGACTGTCCTATGATCAAAACGGTCTTCGTCGAAAAGCTGCAGGCGGTGGCTAGCATCGAGGGCAGCAAGGAAATCCAGTTGGGACTGCTTGTCGGGGCAGCGGAACTGCACGCGAGGAGGTGGAGCAGCTGCTTCCTCGACCGGCCAAGCATGTGCACTCGGAGTAAGGTAAAGAGACCGCATAGGCCGATCCAGAAAAGGAGCCGGGTCAAAGACCGGAGGCTCGCTAGGAAGGCTCAGCCGGCCAACCTCAATGTCTTTTGCTAGGTTGAAGTCAGTAAAGTGGCCGGGAGCAGCATCTGGGCTCAGGACGGCCAGAGCTCTGACCTGCTCTTCGACACGCTCCACTTTTCCAGCAGTCCTGCCCATTGCGGCAGCATCCACAGGAAGGGCGGAGTCCCACAACGACACAGCATTAGCAATACGATCCCAGGCGCGATGCACCGAAGAAGAGAAAGGCTCCTGCCACCGTCGACTTTTAAAGGAAGCGCCGGGGCCACGAGCAACACGGTGAAAGAGGCTCGGCTGCGAGGGAGTCAAACACCAAAGCGATCAGCTCCAAAGCAGCACGGTTGCCACAGGGAGAACACTCCGAAAGAGTGCTCCGGAAGAAGGCCGAACCAAAGGGGCCAGGCGAGCTTGAAACACGTGGCGTGAGCAGGTCGAGGACCTGCGGGTCGTGGTGCAAAAAGTCAGAAAGAACACCCCACTGTGAAGAGGCAACGGCGGTGGAGGCCGAAGCCCCAGGAGCTGCCATGACAAAAGGGCAGCAGGCAAACGCAAGCAGGAGGCCGAGACCAAGTAGCCAAGCACCCGCCCTTCCGGGCTGCGAAGGGTAGGCAGAAAGTTTTTCCCCGTGCGACATACGGCAGGGAAAAACACCACAAAAGCGGCTAAAGCCCATCATTTTTGCTGACCCCCGGAGGGGCCTGACCTCCCTTGGGTGCACCCTTGTCGGCTTTATCACCTTTGTCCTGACGGCCGTCGGCATCCCAATCTCCGCGGCCGCGTCCCTTTCCTCCCAACTTCTTCTTCGCCTCCAAGTGCTGCTCAAGCTCACGGACCTTGTGCAAGCACAGCTCTGCCCACCTCGGCTCAACAAGCCTAGTATGGTAGGTATCGGTGGCATCAGAAGAGGCGTTCCGCTTTCCCGCAAAAGCGGATAGCGGCGGAGGTTGTTCGAGTAGGAACTGCTCCGCGAGAGTCCACTGACCATTGTCAAAGGCCTGTTGGTCGCAGGCAGCTATGCATAAGGCGCAGCGTGCACGGGCCTCGTCATGACGGCCAGCCCTCAGCGCATCCCATATGCCGCATACACTCCAAGCCATGCGCACGGTCGTCGGGAAGTTTCCGACATGCGATCGATACTCAAGCCATGCTCTGCTTGTTGCCCTCGAGTCTTGCAAAGCCGAGCCGACCCTCCGTGATAGCAGGTCCTCCTCGAGCTGATTCTCGATGCTGGTGAAGATCTGGGCAGGATCTGAGGAGAGGGTCTCCCGAAGGATCCTGTAGGCGGCTCCTTTCGACCGGCTAGATCCACCGCTGGAGGAAGAATCACTTGAGGGAAGCAGCCCCTCGGCTCTATCCAGAGCACGGTCGAGAGGCGAGGCATGCGCATCTGGGGCCCGCTTCGCTCTAGCAAGCTCCCCAACAATCTTAGTCAAACTGAGAACGGCCGTCTCAATAGGACTCGCACCTAGTTGGGCCTCGACCTCGGCATCAGCTTCGCCAAGGGAAGAGGCAGCAGCAGAAAGGGCACCGACGCCAGGCACAGGCTCCTCATCAGCCCGGACAGGAAAATCGCCCAAGGAGGGCCGTTGCTTTGCGAAGGCCCTGTATCTCACGAAGGTCAGCAGGACCAATCCCTGAGTCGTGGGCCGCCTTCAGCATCGAAGGGTCAAGCCCTGGAACATCTGCCGCTCGACCCGGAGGCAAAGGGGTACCTGGCACGGCTCCCAGCTCGGACTTCTTCGGCTTCTTGGCTGGCTGCTTGGCTGTCGCACCTACACTGCGAGCTGGACCGGCCGGCGGGCCAATCACCCGGCTGATAGCAGAAGAAATCTGGGCCAAAGAGGCTTCAATGGCAGCAAACCTAGCCTCGTGAACATCTCGGCCTGACGGGGCCGTGGCAAAACCAAACTGAGAATCGGAAACCTGAACCAAGGCTTCAGCAAAAGGAAGGCAGGGGCCAGACTCGGGGTTCAGGAAGCGGATATCACTGTCATTGCCAGGCCCGACAAAGGAGGCAGCAGCAGCAACATCAGAACTCAGGAGTCCGACCCAAATCTTCAAAGAAAACTCGGCTGGCTTAGAACGGTCGGCAGCAGAAGCGGCCATGACCTCACAAAGGGAGGCCTTCGAAAAAGGACTGCTCAAGGTCCGCTTGCTAGTCTTGCGGTCCCAGGCCTTATGAGGGAGAGCCGTGACAATCTTTCCGTCATGCTCAGAAATGAAAATGGCAGCAACGGTCTTCTTAGCAGACTCCTCTCCAACCGAAAGGGTGCCCACTGAAAAGTCAAAATCCGTGCGGCCGCTATGGTACACAAAGTTGAGTTCAAACGGCCTTCTCGGCACACTCTCCTCGCTCTCGCTGCCGTCTCCTTCGTCAGCGTCCGACATCACACCTCAACGGGGGGAGCGAGCCCAGCTGTCTGGCAAGCCAAGCGGGCTTCCCACAGAGAAGGGAAACCACAGAAGACGGAGTCACGCAGCTGGCCACGGTCCTCGCAAACAGTCCTGGCGGCCGCCAGGGAGTGGAAGAGGCGAGGGGGATCGAACAGAGTCCCGTCAGCCCCACGGCACACAACGTACACTCGGGATGCAAGAGGGTTGCGGCTGCGCCCGCTCTGACCACGGTGCATGCCAGCCAAAGCCCGGGCAAAGAAGCGGCCCACCTCGCGAGCAATAACACCACGCTCCTCGTCCGAAATGGAGCTAGCACGAGCCCTCCCCGAGGCAGGGGCTTGCGAGCTGGCAGCAGCAGCCCCAGGGCTTAAGGCTTAAGGCCGACCCTGCTGTTCAAAACTTCAGGTGGGCTTCATATGAAGCTTGATCAAACAATTCGTTCTACAGAAACTTTTCACCGGCTGTACAGGAGGCTAGGTGGTTCCTGCTAAGACGAACTGAAAGAAAATCAAGACTGATTCCAAACTACACTCCAGACTCATGCACACCGTGTTGAGGACAAGAACTTCTTTCTTGCCATGAGGGGTGTTGATGCCAAGGTTGACGTGCTTTTCGTTGACATACTCGAAGCCCGTCACGTACTCGCCCCCCTCCAGCAAGGACAGCGATGCCTCGCTTTTTGCTTGCGTAGCTGCATACAGCAGGTAATGCTTCAGGGGTTGCTTGGGGGGTAGTAGTTCCGAAGCGGCTTTCACATGCTACTTCGTGGTCAAGGTGCATTTCGCTCGATGACTGACCACGACGCATGCCCTGTCTTGCTGCGCCACTGGCAGTCCTCTGACGTCAGCTCCATAGCCTCAAGGAGCCCCCTGCCTCATACTCCGACGACGAACTCCTCACACCCTCCCCATCCTAGGACTCCCTGACCCTTCCACTGCCTGTCGGACGTGACCTTGGGATCGATCCACCAACAGCAAGCCTTGGACTGTCCAAAGCGGACCTCTGCAGGCTGGCGGGACTGCAGGGATTTCTGCAACGAGGCGTGGTTTTGGAGGATTCCGGTGAGCATGTGCGTGATTGCGGGGACCATGGAGCTTGGGACCAGTCAAGACTCTGAGGATGGTTGTACAACTTATTGGGATTGTCCTAGAAGCGACGGGCCTCCATACGTTGCGTAGAGTTGCCAATCGACGTCACCTTGGGAATTGAGGCTGGTGCTGCTTGTTGCACTTCGAGCATGTCTAGCTTGCATGATCGGCTGGGACCGGACATCAGAAAAAGCAGCCTTCTGGGGGCAACTGAGACACCGGTACCGCCGTAGTGGAACACCGAGTAAGTTCCTTTGTCGTAGAGGTCGAACTCGTTTCCGTCCAACGTATGGATGTGCGGATCTCCCACTACACCTCCACTCCTCTGTTGCGGAATACAGCATGGGCCCGCAGGGCTACTTTGCCAAAAGTCTAGGGATGTCTAGGGTTCAGTGTGGCCGACGAATCTAAAGCTGAGACTCCCATCGCAGCAGCCGAACTGAATGGCAAAGTTGCTCAAATAAAGGATGTCGTTTGGGTTGTTTGCGTTGGTTGCAAGGCTCACCACACAGAGTTTGCCCGGAGCCGTCCACTTCCAGCAAAAGGTTTCGTCCACCTGGGAGGTGTTTCTCATGCTGGGGAGTGCCCAGTTCTGACCGCGACCCGTTGCAGTGGCCTAGATGATTGGAATAGGGCTACTGCCGCCAGGGTGTTAACTGCAGAGCGCTAACAATCGTATAGGCCTCTGCATTAGTTTGTAAGTGTACTTAAATTCAGATGGCATATGAACGGCGAACGTAACTGTAACACAGTAGCACTGGATCTCAATGTCCTGATAGGGTTGCCCTGCATTCCCCATATGACCCCCCCCGCCTTTCCAGATAGTGCTGGAACGTTGGGGACAAGCCCACATGTCTGCTTCCCAGAGTAGCAAGCTCGACCAGCCGCACTATTGGGGTTCCCACTCTTGACGCAAATCCTCGGGCGGCGCAGCATAACAGCAGAAAATGTCTTCACGATGCGTGGCCTAGAAGCTGTACTGGGCAGACACCTGGTGGGACGGTGACGCAAACTCCAGCCGATGGGCGGTCGAACTCAGCCTTGGCGGTGGTCCACGTTCCTGCGATTGGCTTTGGCTGGCACGGGTTCGACCCGTGCGTTTCCGAGAACCAGCATTTGCCGAAATTGGCCATCTCGCGCCAGTTGCACTCTACACCACTGGTGGTCTTGCAAACGTTGTCGTCCGTGAACTTCTTCTTGCATGTGGCGCTGCTCGGAAGCCCTGCACCGATCGGATTTCCTGCTAGTGACGAACGACCTTCTAAAAAAGCCGGTTTTGAACTTCGTTGCGCTGAGCCGTGCTGTTGCAGCATGCATGATGCATCCTTGGTTGGTAGTAGCAACCCAGCAAACATGCATGATAATCCCAAGCAAAACAAATCATTTGCCGAAACCGAGCATCCTTCTCATCTGCCCAGGCGCACGCCAGGAAGATTCCTAGCCAGATAGATCGCGCCATGGTCAGGCGAAAGTTGGCGCGAATAGGTTCAGTAGCTAGGAACTGAAATATGGCTCGAGCAAAAAGTGAGTCATTCCGAAGAGCTCGAGCGATTTTCCACATTCGACGAAAAAGTCCCAACTTACCCGATTTACCCGTGTGTCTGCATAGCTCCAAGACAACTCGTTTGTCACAGAGTCTCAGTGTAGCTGCGCAGATCAAAGGCAACTCCTTTGCAATAAAGCCCACACATATTTCGCGCAAGTTCTGCACAACGACAGTGATATTGGGATGCTGGCTCGAACCAGCCAAGAACTGGACGACATTCCTTATCGTTCGAAGATCGTGCTTTGTGTTTTGATGTCTATCATGTTTGAACCTTCGGGGATAAATGCTTGCACTCGCACATGCCACATGCAAGTAGTTCAAAGCTCGACGCTATTTTCACACGTTGGGGTAGCAAGTACCGCACACGGCAGAAAACTTCGAACTGTCGGTCCTGTGAGACACAAGACTCTTTTTGTCCCCTCCGAAAGGAGAACTAGCCACTCTCAAGCCGTGCACGGCTCACAAACTGAACCTTAGTGAACGGCCTGCCAGTCGAAGACGAGCAAGACCGAGTAACTGCGAAGCAGAGAGCCAAGACCCGAGCCAGGTCTTATGCATAAAGCATACCTGAGTGTCCTCAAACTGAGGTCCAAAGCTTCCTGAGCTGATGCAATCTTTGCACTTTCCACGAATCAATTAGGGTGGAGAGGGTGGGTATTTCAAATAAAACTCTCGCCCGATTCAAGGGCTTCCTGCCCCTTCGAGAGGTCAAGCTGCAACGGACGAATGTGTTCTTCAACTTGTTTACAGCATGTATGAATGAGGGTTCATAAAAAGGCAATGTAAGGAAAAGCCCTAAAACAACAAATCAAAATTGGACTCAGTTCTCTGAGCCATTTTGTCATGTTGTTTTTCTTCAAACGATAAAGCCATATCTTCTGCAAGTGTTCAAAAAATGTAACTTATCGTTCGAAGATCGTGCTTTGTGTTTTGATGTCTATCATGTTTGAACCTTCGGGGATAAATGCTTGCACTCGCACATGCCACATGCAAGTAGTTCAAAGCTCGACGCTATTTTCACACGTTGGGGTAGCAAGTACCGCACACGGCAGAAAACTTCGAACTGTCGGTCCTGTGAGACACAAGACTCTTTTTGTCCCCACTTCCAGGAGTCGCAGTGTTAAGCAGGCAGATTCGAAGCTCTCTTCACAATCGATAACACCGCTTTGGTCGCCTCGACAGACTCGTCTTTGAATCCTAGTCTCTTGACTCTATCAAGTTTCATCCTCGATGGTTCATCTGCCAGATTAGCAGGTGATGCCACTCTCGCATACCACGGCAAGATGCCGTGGACATACTCCAGGAAATTGACTTCATCGATAAGAATCCCCGCGACTCCTTTCTTCGAAGAGCCGGCGATGTATGCATGTCTCGCAGCATCATTATCGATATAACAAATCACTCCAGTCCCAGCAACAGCACCTGGCTGTTCGTATGATTCTGCGAACGCAGCCGTCTTCAACCAAGAGCTTGAGACCGATCAAGACCCCGAACATCTCTAGTTCATATATGATGGTATGCTCATCCTGCAACGACATAGACTTGGCTTGCTGCTCTGAGATCGGCACGCTGAAGAAAGAGAGTGCCGAACCTGACCCGGTGAGAAGGACGCCCCCGAGTCCTCCAGTTCCTGACTCCGTTTCAAACGCCGCATCGGTAAGGATCATAAAAGTCCTGCATGAAACTTGTCCCACTAGCCTCGGTTGGGCCATGTCAAGAAACTTACCAAACTCTTCAAGTCGTTCCTTGGCCATCGACGAAAGCTTTGACCTGCCAGTGTAGGCATGCTTTGTCACCTCCGTAAGGCACCTTCTTCCCAGCCTACCGAAAAACTGGGCTTGAGCAAACTGCAGCCTACCCCGCAGTTGTAGAGCTTCCTTCTGAGTCATGGTTCCCTTGTCCAGAAAACCTTTGATCGCAGCCGTGAGTTCCTTGCGTCGTTTCTCAGTGTTCTTGACTTTCAGCACTCCGGACCCCGTCTGGTCAAGCTCGAAAAGAACGCCGAGGGCCTCGAAGCTTGTGTTCCACTCCGTTGCTTTATCAGCTGACAGCTTCCAACCTAGCAGCTTCATAACTTCATCGAAAGTGTGTGAACACGAACTCCTATCTCCTCCAAGAGCGAGCAGAACAAAATCGTCGAAATAATTCGTGGTTGGGATTTTGGCCCCTTTGACCAAGATAGTCCAAAGAGCTCTTGCTACTCTGAGGAAAAAGTACACGGCCTTGGTAGAGCCGAAAGGCACAGCTAGTTGTTGGAACAACTTGGGCTTCTCCTCCGCCGGGTCGTAGACCGCAAGGTAAGAAAAATCTAAGCTCGTGTCAGACACCGCCAGTTGTCTGTAAGCTCCCTTCAGATCCGCTGTTTTCCCGTACAATGCATTCAAGTTCTTCTTTCGAGCAGCACTCGAAAGTGTATTTATCAACAAAGCGATTTCGTCGATAGAGTGCGTGATGGGCTTTTCAGAGACTGTGACCGTATCGTTGATCAAACTCGATGAGTAGTTGTCAATGCGTCGCAGCTTATCTCCTTGTAGCAACGGAAAGCGGGAGCTGACCAAACACCGTTTCGGCAATGACTCGAAATCATAAGGTCCCGAGAGGTATCCACTCTGTACCTCTTCCATCGTCTTATCCCACAACAGCTGATCGATTTCCTTATCACCCGATGAACCAGTCTTCGCTCGGATCTGCTGTTTGATTTCATCAGACATCCCCAAAAGATGTTCAGTGTCCAACCTAGCAGGCTTGAGCTTGGTATCCAACACCCCAGTGATAGGAATGTCCCCCGTCAGGGTGGCTCCGTCGATGAGTTCCTGAACCACACCCATATCATCATACCCAATATCTCGCAGCATCTCTTCGAACAACAAGATACGTTTGGGTTGAAGGATCTTCCTTCTGTGATCCGACATGCCAGCCTTCAGCTTGGTTTCCTCTGGTTCCAATTCTTTGGCTCGTCTGGCCCACTTCTCGATGTAGTTCTTCCTCTGAGAACGAACCATTCCCGGTTTATGAACTAGGTCGTGGACAAGGTCACTGAGATACTTGTTGCACTTAGATAACTTATGGTATGGGTGTCCAGTCTTACCTGCCTTGGCGATAAATTCAATAGGATCCCATGGGATGCCCACTCGCAAAACTGAGGCTCCATTCACGTTTTGCATTTCCTGCTGAAGTTGCGGGCTCAATTGCCCCCCTGACTGAGTACGCGACAGAAGCTGGGAATCCTGCGGGAGCGTCCTAAGCTCCGGCAGCACACGGGCGCCGTGCGGGACCATCCAGTCCTGTTTAAGGCGCTTCGACCCACCAAACGGATCCTCGACCTGCGGTGGCAGAAGAACATAGACCACCAACTTCCACTCAGACACCACTTCCGGCATCGCTCCACGTGGCTGATTCATGGCCGAAACCCGCAGCGATTTGTTAGTCAAGGCCGGGCTGCGACACGGCAGCTGTCGCTGAGTCAAACCTGCGATGAACACCTCAGCAACCGCCGTGGCAAAAGCCGGCGGGTAGCCGGTCGGCGCCTCCGAGCGCTGTTGCACCTTATCTCCCACAGGTGCCGCCTCCCTGCGCACAGTGAGGACTTCGGGCATATTAGACAACACGAGGCTGCGCTGTTTGCTATGGGAGTCCCAAAACCGCCAATCCACCTCCACCTGGTGTGGAGGATGCTGTGCTGACGGTAAGCGCTGCAAGCTCTCCCAAAATGGTGAGGACACCGAACCCTCAAGAATCAGGGGCAGATTGTTGCTTAAGCAACCCGCCATCACTGCCAGAATGAAAGCTGTAGTGACAGGTTCCGAGGCATGTTTAGGAATACATATCATAACACCCGCAATCTTGCCTTTGTCGAGCCATGTTAGGACAGAGTCACAAGTCTCCCTCGTCGACATGTCCATCTGAAGCACTGGGGCCATAGCCGCCTTCTGCTTGAAGCGGTCCACTCCAAATAAAACTCTCGCCCGATTCAAGGGCTTCCTGCCCCTTCGAGAGGTCAAGCTGCAACGGACGAATGTGTTCTTCAACTTGTTTACAGCATGTATGAATGAGGGTTCATAAAAAGGCAATGTAAGGAAAAGCCCTAAAACAACAAATCAAAATTGGACTCAGTTCTCTGAGCCATTTTGTCATGTTGTTTTTCTTCAAACGATAAAGCCATATCTTCTGCAAGTGTTCAAAGAATGTAACACATTCGACAAAAGATTCCGAGTGTATGCACAATTCCGAAACAACTCCTTTGTGGCAGAGTCTCAGTGTAACTGCGCAGATCGAAAGCAACTCCCTTGCAACTGTCTGTCTGTCTGTCTCTGTGTCTGTCTGTCTGTCTCTTCCCCTCTCTGTCTTTGTCTGTGTCTGTGTCTGTCTGTGTCTGTCCGTGTCTGTCCGTCTCCGTCTGTCTCTGTCTGTCTGTGTCTGTCTGTGTCTGTCTGTGTCTGTCTCTGTCTGTCCCTCTCTCTCTGTGTGTCTCTCTGTCTGTCTCTCTCTGTGTTCTCTGTCTCTCTCTGTCTGTCTCGGTCCGTCTCTCTCTGTCTCTCTCTGTATGTCTCTGTCTGTCTCTGTCTGTCTCTCTCTGTGTTCTCTGAGTTCTCTGTCTCTCTTCTTCTTCTTCCGCCGGGCATGAGGGGCTGTTAAGACCCCTCGGCCACTAGGGCCCCCCCATATTTTGTGGGGACTTTGGAGGAGTGTGAAATTAATTTCGTAGTCCCCCAGGTGGATCTTGTCTCTCTCTCTCTGTCTCTCTCTGTCTCTCTCTGTCTCTCTTTGTGTGTCTCTGTCTGTCTCTGTCTGTCTCTGTCTGTCTGTGTCTATCTTGTCTCTGTCTGTGTTTCTGTCTATGTCTCTGTCTGTGTCTCTTTCTGTGTCGTCTCTCTGTCCGTCGAAGCACCACGGCTCAGACCGGCTCTACGAGC